TTTCCTGCTTCTCTGATGCTGCTTGGCCTGCTGTGTTCATCCAGCTCTACACCTTGTTATCTCAGATTCTCCAGCATCGGCAGGTCTTACTATCTCTGTAACTATAGTTGATTGGCTGCTTTCAGGAGTCAAATATTCTTAATGTGCATCCTGACACAAGAACAAACATCAATGAATTAAGTATCTGCACAGCATTGTTTCTTATTCATTAAAATTTAGAATTATCATTATGTAACTTCATGGAAGAATTCATCATTTTACTTCATAGTATGATGCACATTTTTATAATGGCAACATCATTTTGAGAGTGTGTTTCGTTCTGTGTTTAGGAAATTTGGCAAAATTCACATTTTTTTGTTAATTTATACATTGAGGGGATATTTGTTTGTATAAATCAAATGAGTTATGAATGCAAGAAAATCACCCCATTATTTGAAATGTTCATCTCAACGGAAGAGTGGGGTCCTATTTATCAACATTATAGATGAAAACCTGAGTTTGGTATTTAAAAGGTTATCTTCTTACCTTGTAAATTACCGTTGTTTGACAGAACTTACCGGAATAGTTCTATGGTGATACAGGATACCATCATAGAAAGAGTTCACTAGAATGTCGAACTGTAGGTTAGCTATGATTAATTGTAAATTATAACTCAATTTTCTTTGCACTAGCTTGAACCAAAGAGAATATTTGAGTCATACATAGCACGAAGGAAGACAGCTATAATATTGGCAGTCAATCACCTTACCTCATTCACTTCAGCAGTTTATGTGCCCTGGGCCCAAATATCTTCAGCTACTTCATAGATGGTCTTCTCTCAATCACAAAGTTAGAAGAGGGGATGCTCACTTATGCTCAGCACAATGTTCAGCACCGTTCATAACTCTTAGATACTGAAGCTGCCTTTGTCAATATGCAGCAAGACCTGCATAACATCCAAGCTTTAGCTAATCAGTGGCAAGTAACATCCAGGCCACCCAAATGCCAAGCAATGACCATCTCCAAAAAGAAAGAAACCAAACATCTCCCCATGTTCAATGGCAATATCATCAAGCAGTCCCCTGCTATCAACATTCTGGGGTTTACCGTAGACTAAACACCAAACAGGAACAGCCATATAAATACTGTGGGTACAACAACAAGTCAGAGACTAGGAATTCTACAGCAAATAACTCACCTCGTGTCTGTCCACCATCTACAAGGCATAAGTAAGGAGTACAATGGAATACTCTCTACTTGCTTGGATTGGTGCAGATCCAACAACACTTAAAACTCAGTACAATCCAGGAAAAAAAGTGATCTGCACACTATGTATAACTTTCAATATTCACTCCCTCCATCATTCACCAGTCACACACAGTGGCATCAACATGCACTATCTACATGACACAATACAATAATTCACCTGGGTTCCTTCAACAGCACCTTCCAACTCCTGACTTATATCAGCTAAGCAGTCAGCAGATGTATGAAAACACCATCATCTGCAAGCTCTCCTCCAAGTCATACACCATCCTTAATTGGAACTATACTGCTGCTCCTTCACTTATTATTTGTGTTAAATAATTCTCTAACCATGCCATTACCTGCAACTCCATCAGCTTTTTCTTGTTCATCAACATTTGTGTGGCTTCTCAATTGTCTTCTGGAAATCCAAATATTCTACAGTCATTGGTAACCCCTTATTTACCACATTTGTAAAATTTTCAAAGAACTCTAATGGATTTGTCAAATGTGATTTCCCTTGAATAAAACCATGGTAACTGCAGATCAGAATGTATGGTTTTCTAAAGTAAATTAAGACTTCCTTAATGATAGATTTCAAAGTTTTCCCCCCAACAAGTGACATCAGGCTAACTGTTCAGTAATTCCTTACCTTTTCTCTCACTCATGGCTACCTTCAAATCTGCTGATATCACTCCAAAATCCAGGAACGTAGCAACAGAACTAGGCTATTTAGCCAATTAAACCAGTTCCGTTATTCAGTGAGATAATGGCTGATTTTCCACCTCAATGCCACTTTTCCACACTATCCACGTTAGGTCTGATGTCATTAGTCTATCAATTTCTGTCTTAAACATGCTTAATGACTGAGCTTCCACAATCCTCTGGGTGTGAATTTAAAGATTCACGACCCTCTGAGTGAAAGAAATCTTTTGTCATCTCAATCTAAAATGCCCTATCCCTTATCTTGAAATTATGTCTCCTGGTTTTAGACTCACCCGTCAATGGAATTACCTTGTCTACATTCACCCTGTAAAAATTTTGCATATTATAAGGAGGTCACCCCTCATTCTTCAAAAGTCTGGGGAATACAAACCCATTCTTCTCAATTTCTCCATGCTGGACCATCTCATACCTCAAGGATTAATCTGGTGAACATTCATTTTACTCCCACTAAGGCAATATAACCCTGCTTCAACAAAGCTCTGTACAACTGCAGCAAGATATCTTGACTTCTGTACTCAAATCTATTTGCAATCAAGGCCAATATACTATTCGTACCATACCAACACACACACTTCTCAATCTGTTACTATTTAAGAATTATTCTGTTTTGCTGGAGCAAGTGAATGTACCATAGCCAAGTTTGCAGATGATCAAACAGCATAATCTTAGAAAAAAGGGGTTGCACATTTAAGACAGAGATGAAGAGCAATGCAATGTCTCATGTTAGTGAATTTACAGAATTCTTTATTGCAGAGAGTTGTTGAGGATGCATATTATATTCAAGGCTGAGGCAGGCAGATTTTTAATCAGTAAGAGAGTCAAGCATTATGGAGAAAAGGCAAGAAAGTGGATAATTAGATCAGTGAATCATGTGATCTCATTGAATGGCAGAGCAGGCTTGATGGGCTCAATACTTCGTTCCAATGACTAATGGTCTTACTGTCCAATCATTCCTTGCTTTATACTATGTCCAGTAGTATGACTACTGTTAGAAGTCTTCAAACTCATTATTTCTAACCTCCAGACATACTGATCTGACTTCCTGATCTTCTGGGTCAAAATCTCCCCTCAATACTGAGGTAAATTATCAGTGCAATTTCATCTCCTTTGCCATGTAACCTGTCTTTTCCAAATGTATTGTACCCAGCAATATTTATTTCTTAACCTGGTCACCTGTAACAATGCTCTGCAATGTGAATGGATAAAAACATTTTTCTGTTTGTGCCACCAAGTCATCTACTTACTACGGATGCAATATCTATTCACATAAAGAGTCCTTTTTTTTTGAAAACTACAATTAGATCCTATTTGTTAATGCAATATTACCGTGCAATTCCATCACCACTCTTCTTAACTTTGCCTAAATAATACATTATTCTACTGTCTCAACAATTTTCTTTGGACTTTTAAATCCAAACCCTCACACAACCTCTGCTAATTTAAAATACTATCCAAAGGCATTGTTAGATCCAGGGCACTAGTCCCAGCCTGGTGTAAGTGGAGCCCATAGAATCAGAACAGCTCCCTCTTGCCCAAGTATTGGTGCCATTCCCTCGCTGCCTGAATGGGTGGTAGATACAGAAGTTAAAGAATTTAAATGTGTAGTGGAACTCTGAGATTTGCATAGTTAACTTTAATTTTGTTTATTGCATGTTTCAGTTCTTGGAATTCTAAGTTAAACGTAAGAGTTTTTCTACACGTATGGAGTTAACAATCGGATTTTAAAACAACAATAACCATAATTCCAAGCAAAAGGAAGTTAGCCAGTGCTCCTAATGGACTATCCAGAGGGATCAGAGGAAGAACTTTCCAGACTCTGACCTTCATTTTCAGTCTGTGCTGGGAGTCATTCAAGAGAGAAACATATATCAAGCTCCAAAAAGCTGAGAAGTCCTTTAGTAGAGTCACGTGCTACACAGCGTTCCCAAGAAGTTTATAGAAAAAATTATCAAAGAATAAGAGGTTATTAATCCCAGACCTGAGTATTAGGATACAGCTGGTGGAAAAGAAGTAAAGTTAAGTTTTCAAAGTTATTTTATTAAAAAAGAAAAAAAAATTGAAGCTGCATTGGTGATGGTACAGCACTGAAAGAAGGCTAAGTCAGGGCTTACAATAATTAAGAGTTAAGCTGTGGTTGGTTTGCTCGCCAAGCTAGTTCGTTAGTTTGCAGACGTTTCATTACGACAGTTAAGAGTTATCTCCAGTTCCAGTAGATGAGTTAAAATTTTAATTATTTCAAGCCATTGAAGTATTAAAAATTGTTTCCCATCTTTGGAAATAAGCTGGACTAGGTCTTGCTACAAGACAGCACAAGATGTTCTTAGAACTGCGACAATATTCGCAATCTGCACCAGAGTGTACTGATTACAATACAAAGCTATTGCTTGTGTTCAATCTTTAAAGAGTGCTTGGAATACTTCTACTGTGTGTTAAAAATAGTTGAATCTGTGTTATAAGAGAATGGACTGGATTTTTTTCTTTAATTTCATTTCAGTTATTCATAAATTTTTAATTGTTTTACTGTTTAAAAAAAGACTGCAACATTGTTTTTGTAAAAGATCATATCACATTTAAAATGATCTACATGTCAGGGATTTGTCTTGTCTGATATTAACATTAATTGAGCATTACCCTATAAAAATTGTGGCCACTAAATCATAATAAGTGTTGTAATTAACAAGTATTTGAAGTGCTGATTAAGAACTGGAACAGGGGTTCAGACTGAAGATCAGCCAACTCAGAAATAGTGAATCAAACAGACTGTTTCTGTGCTACAAGTTTCTGTATGATTCTACAAGGTAAATAGTACTCTTTGCATTAACTATTTGTCAGAATGGCACTTTTAATAATCAACTTGCAAGTCATCTATTTACAGCACCTGCTTTCATTTACACTGATTGAACACTAGAAATACGTTGTCATAGCTTTATAATTAATTCCATAGATTGATTTTGGCAGTATACAAAGAAAGATTTGTAAATGCAGGTTAAATGGTGTAATATCTCTAAAGAATTTCAGTTTAGGACATGTATCACAATTCCAGAAAATACATTTTTTTTTTGGTTTTAGTATGTTCCAATGTGTACCGAGCAAACACAATATAATGTTACTCCCAAATGAGATTAAATCCCAATCTGAAATAATTCATGTCAGGTACATTTGGTTTTGAATAAAACGTATGACTCAGTAGGGAATTAAACAGCCCTGAAACAGAGTTAAATTCAATCCAAACCCTATGGAACATCCCAACGGCAGCACTGCCACAAATTGCACTTCACAGTCATCATAACCAATATACAAACGTTAAAGGCACCAACAAACCTCTTTGGGTATTCTGCGCAGCATATCTTTACAGCGTTGGATACAATTCACTGCATTCATATGATCACATTGAGTCACAGCCTAGCAATAGAGAGAGAGGAGAAAATAAAATGCACAAACAAAATCAGAATATTGATTACAATGACACTGGACAGAATTTTGTGCCCTTTCCTCTGTCATGTCTGGTGGCTGGGGAGGAGGCATTGAATCATGTGGAAAGGAGGAAAGTGGGTGGGAATCTTGCAATCTTCCTACCATTGCCCCAATTAAGCCTGGCAGTAAGATCTGTAGATAGCCTTCCCATCCTATCTTCAGTTGAGGCCCCCAAGCAGCTTTGCGAAGTTGGGTAGAGTATTTGTGGATTCGGAGGCAGGACATTAAAATTTGGTGGTTGCAAACTTTTGGTCTTTGTAAAATGCTAGGGAGGAAAAACAGTGCATGGTCCCTTTAAAAGAAGATGTGCTTTTTCTATGCTTAGAGATTCAAAAAGGATGTCTGTGGGCAGCAACTTGTAGGTTTGAATTGAAATATTTGTATCAAAAGGCCATACAGCTCGCAGGCCAAGCAGCAGTTTTGTTTTGTTACCAAAACAAGAAGTTTTGAATTTGGCCAATCAATTTGAACCAGGCACTTAGATGCCAAAAACCAATTAAATTTGAATTTGATGGTTTTGACAACATAAGACCAATCCTATTGTAAGAAATTGATATGTCATCAACGGTATAAAAGAAGAGGGCAGTTGAACAAAGACATGAGAGCCAACTGCCATCTGCCAGAGTTAACAGCTCTCAGTTCTGAAGAGAGAATTGTTGGCTCTCAGTCTTAAAGAAAGCATCATCTAAATCAAAGGTACTTATGGCATAACTTGTTAGGATTCCTGGCAAAAGAATCAACTGCGAAACATTCCTGACAGAACATTCTGGAAGACATGTAACCTGGCTTGAGACTTGTATTTACTGGAACAGCATTCCATTAAAATCATGTTTTATTTGGGAATAGTTAGTAGTTAGAAGGGTTTATTTGGTTGGTTAATAATTTAGTTAATTTGTTCACTGTTAGAATTAGATAAATAAATTGTTACTTGTTCATTGTAAAAGTGAGTGTCAGTGGTTTATTTTATTTAACCACTACAAGTTGCTGAAAGGCAGGTTACACCACTTTTCACACTCCTTTTTGACAGATTACAGTGCGAGGCACTCCTCTTTGGGTGTTTCGGTTTTAGTTCTGGGGGTGGGGGTTGACAACCTCTGCTTTGTAACAGTAGAAAACCTGTTCCAATGAATGATAATTGATCTGAAATATTAACTTTGTTTCTCTTAATAAATTACGCTTGCCCTGCAGAATTTTTAATTCAAATTTCCTGTTTCTGCAGTAATATGCTTTTGTACCAGCTTGCACCAAATGATTTGTCAGCAGAAATCTTCTAGACTGACATTTACAAAGGAAAAAGGAACCCAAAAGATGACAGCTAGGCCAGGCTGCCAGAGAGGGACTTAAGGACCGTCCTGCCCATGAAACAAAATCTGCAGAGAGATAGAAAATTTCACTCCGGTGGGATGCTAGGCTCCTCCTTCCAATGACTGCAGTCACAACAGTTGTTCATAGCGCCACTATGACTGACTGACCTTTCTTCTGAAAACTATGTCAGACTTATTATAATTACATTATAATCTATTTTATTGTATTTGTTGCGCCAGAGGGAACTGTTTTTTGTTTGGCCATACTTGTCAAGAAGGTACTAACAATTTATGAATGTCGTATCAAACCCACCTAGGAATAACTACAGTAACAAGTTTATCAGAAAACAGCAACACAATCTAGCAGAAAATTCTGTCTTATGATTTAAATATTGTAATTTAAGACACACACATACTGATTCTGCCTGATACGAGTGCACTTTGAAAAGGTCCTTTTCCACATCATTCTTAAGAACATTTAAATCTGATTGGCCATCATATCCAGCTATTAGCCTTGCATACAACATCTCCAAACTCTGTAGGAAGAGATGCAAACTGTTATAATCTTTCCATCAGAAAAATTCAAATCTTGAACCTTAACTATCACAATACAGAGAATTTTCAACAGGTTCTCAGACTACTGCAAATACACAGAAATCCTATTCATCTGACATTACAAACAAACGCCAGATTTCTGAAGCAAGGGTATTTCAGCATGTGTTCTTAAACACTGCAGTGAAATCAATCAGAACGAAAGTAGCAGTCAGGATCAGAGAATAAATGAAACTTGAAATATAAGGCAACTGCTACTAATTTGCTAATGGTACGGAATGTAATTATAGCTGCAATGTTCTGCTTCAGAATCATTCTAGGGTGCTTCAGAGTCTGCTTTCAAAGTATGCCTGTAGGCTGGTCAACAATATTCTCTCAACCAATGGTAAACTTCTCATTCTGCTTGAAGAAAGGTCAACTCTCCCTATTACAGCATTAGCTTCTTATGTGAAACAGAGTAAAAAGAATCCCAGAAGTGGAAGATACTGAAGAAATTGCACAAACACACGTACCTGATACTCTCCAACAATAAATCACAAAATGTTATAAATAAATATTTAACTCCTAAATATGTTAGAAAAATCTGGCAGGTGTCAATTTATCAGAGTTGATGGCTTACACTAGGGCACATCAAAGATAGAAATTAAATAGTTTCAAACTAAGCTTACAATGTTTCCAACTTCTTTCCGTCCTCTCCAAAAGAAAGTGACTACCACTGGTATACACTTACAAAGACATCGGCAACTCAACAGCACTTCAACTGCACGCTCTTACTTATTTCCTCCTTTTTAATGAAGGCTCCAAACAAAAGTTGGCATTGCTGGACCAGTTCATGTTAGCTGATATTGTTAACTGCTCTCTCCTTAAGTAGTGTTTCTATCCTTCAAATGTGTCATTATCATTTCTTTTACCAAACAAACACTTGACCTCATTTAGATTAGTAAACCATTAAACATTCCTCACCTTTCCAAAGCCCTCAAACATGTTATCACTTCTTAAATCCATGTCCATCTGATTGTGAGACCATATTTCAATCCTTTTGATTTCTATTTTTGCCACAGAATTGAAACTACTCTTATCATAATCATAAACAAAATTTTATGGGACTGCTGTCAAAAATTGCCATATATGAACTTTGCAATATTGTAAGATTTATTTAGGACTGCACAGTGGCTCACTGGTTGGCACTGCTACCTTACAGTGCCGGGGAGCTAGGTTCAATTTCACCCTCGGGCAACTGTTAGTCTGGAATTTGCATGTTCTCCCTTTGTCTGCGTGGGTTTCCTCTGGGTGTTCCAGTTTCCTCCCACAGTACAAAGATGTGTAGGTCAGGTGGATTGGCCAGGCTAAATTGTCTGTAGTGTCCAGGGATGTGCAAGTAAGGTGGATTAGCCACGGCAAATACAGTTACAGGGATGGGGGTCAGGTGGAGAGAGTCTGTGATAGTCAGCTCTTCAAAGGGTCAGTGTGGACATGATAGGCTGAATGGTCTGCTTCCACACTGTACGGGTGCTATGATTCAATGATTTCCAAAATATCTATTGCATTTCTTATGACAGCCTTCAGAGCAGCTTGCTAACTGAAGAACACAGGATAGTGCAGTTATCTCTGCTAATGGCATGTCTCCAGTCCCAGACCTTTTTGACAAGATCGGACAAGTTTTCAAGAGGTGAAAGAAATCACATCAGGGTGGAAAAGATCTATGTTGGTCTCAGCCCTCTTCAGATGGAGGTTAACAGGGCAAGAGCTTCCTAACACTTCAGCTACAAAGAATGCTTTTGCCATTATCTACTAGTCATTCTGAGCCATTCATTTGTCCTCTAGCACCAGTAAACCATTCTATTTTATCATGAGCGAAACATTATTTCAGCAAAAAAACTCAGACATGTTACATTTGAATTCCATATCTAAGAAATAATTAACTGACTGTAAATAAGTGATGCCCAAGCACTGTTGGGGGTTCATTACAGGTTTTCAACCTAAAAATGGCTAGTTTATTCGGAATCTTTTCTGTTAACAAATCCTCAACTTTCACTAATGCATCACCACCTACTCCACAGAGCCTACAAACAAAGCAAACACACATAGAGTTGAATCATTTCATTAGCACTTTAGTCTTTAATGTAATTGTCGAGCTACTGTTAAAGACTCTAATTAAACTTAAGAAAAAGTTTTATGATAAAAGAAACGTACTTTCAGAGCCAAGTCTAGAAATCCATCTGCCAATAAAGGTTTCCTACAATCCAGCCAGCTTTTCCCAGTTTTCATGAACATCTGTAACAGAAAGTAGGAATATTTTATAATGTAATCTACCCACAAAAATAAATGCACTTCCTTTAAAACTATGTCATCTGATTTGCACAAACATACGAAATCACTGAGCCTGTTTCATCATTCAATAATATCATGATCGAACTGATTACTTCATTCTCACCTAAGTTCAATACCATTTGAACCTCTAGAAAGAATCTATGAACTTCTGCCCTAAAAAATACTCAAGGCGGCTGCTTCTTTTCAAGCAGAAGACTCATAACCTCAGGGAAAAATTCTTTTTCATCTCTACCTTAAATGGGCAACACATCATTTTAAACAGTGACCCCTAGTTGTAGGTTTGACCATAGAAGGAAATATCCTTTCCACATCTACCCCTTCAAGATTCCTCAATTCCTTGTATGTACCAATCAAGTCAGCTCTCTCTCTTCCAAATCTAACTGATACAAGCCCAGCCTATCTAAGCTTTCCTCATAAGCCAATCTGTATGGTTTAAGTATGCAGAGTCTCTAACCACAATTAACTTGGCTGGGGTCTCTGGATGGACATTCAGAACAATTACTTGTTCAAGGGGAAGGTCACTTTCACATTAAAGGAGGTGGTGTTGTGGTGGTAATGTCATAGGAGTGGTAATTCAGAACTGCAAACAATGTTCTGGGAACATGGGTTTAAGTCCCATGTACATTGTTTGAATTTAAAAATATCTAGATTTAAAAGCTGCCTAATGGTGATCATGTAATTACTGTTGATTATTGATTATTGCAAAACCGGTTTGGTTCACTGATGGAAGGAAATCTGCCATCTTTACCTCATCTGGCCTACATGTAACACGTCGTTCACTCTCAACTGCCCTTTGCTGGCATAGCCAGTGACACCCGGAGCCAATAAAAAAAATTTTAGAAATGTAAATTTAGACAACATGAGATATTAAGGAAAGCATTTACAATTCTGAAATATTCGGGTATAGCACATCTCACAGGCACTTCATCTATTTATATCAGCTTCAGGGACAAATTATCACACAGCTCCAGGAACCTACCCAATTTCCCACCCTCAATGCCAGCAAAATGACTCAAAGTATTGAAATGATACACACAGCCACTAGGCCTATGCATTTGAGGCTTGAGCATCAAACTAATGTAGGTTTGATAGCAACAATAACTAACTGTTCAATTGCCACCCACTAACTATCCATTTTAAACCATGTGTTATAATTGGTCTAATTATGTGCATTTGTCACTTTGGTCTAAGTATGAAACTCAAAAGTATCAGGCCTGCTCTTTTTCAGGAAGCTGCAAGATCCGTTGTTTATAAGGTTGTCAATAATAAATAACTGCCTTTAATAGCACAGAAGAATTTTTTTTGTCAAATAAATTAAATTGATTCAAACAATATAATATTACATGCAATTTTAATAATTAATACAAATAACTTCCAAATATGTGTTATCTATGTAACAATAAAATTAAGCACTTACTTGCATTTTAGTTGCGCCTTCAATTCCCTCAAACAAAATTCAAGGCACTTTGTGGTCAATTAATTTCTTTGAAGTATTGTAATTGGTTTGTAACTAATACAGTATCTACGATGCACTGGCAAGGCCTCATAAACAGTAATATGTGATCAGATATAAAATTATTTTATAATCACACATTTCTGTTTCATCTATGAAAACACCTTATCAATAATGTATCAAACACTACAGCTCAAACTCACCAGTATTTGTCTTTGTAGTGTCACTTCATTCGGTTCAGCATTATCGCACAAAGAGACCAACTTGCAGGCCACATGTCGCACTGAAAAGTGAAGTATTCATGAACTTAAGATATTGCACATTAAAACTTGGCTTTTCATTTCAGGATTTTATTGTTTTTAATTTCTGTCAAGACTACACTAATGTTGCATAGTTGAGCTGAATCTTCCTAAAAGTGGCAATCACAATCAGATTGCCACTCTTGTCCTTTACACATAGCCTATTCCAGAGCTCAGAGTTCCTGGCCTGAACTTCCAACGAATCTATTTCACAAATGCAGAACTACCTGGTCAGGCAACATTCAAGCATAGCATCAGCACCTGAAACCAAACCAGGCCCTTTTTTCACAGTAGTAACTGATGCATTCCAGTGTTTCAAGTTACATAGTCTGTCTGACATAGACAGAATGTAGATGAGGGAGAAAAATCTGTGGTAGGGGCTGTGTATCAGTGACAGTCACTGGGAAGTTAGTTTCATTGTTAGCCAGGAGTTAGAACAGACTTTAATCCCTTTAACCTTTCCTGAATAACTGTTAAGATATGCAAGTTGAAATCCTTTAACACATCCAACTCTAATTCAGAGCAGGGGGCACATTTTCGAAGAGCTATACAGGGAGGGTAACTACTCATTCTACTTTTAAACTACTCGGGAACTTACCACAGACAGAACTTCTGCAGGGTCCTAAACTATACCTTTCAGGATAGGTCAAGTGTCTGACTATCAGGAGACCAGAAGGTCGACCCCAGTTACTTTAGCTGTTTACCACTATTAATGCTTTAGTACATTATATGCATATTAAGTACATGTTTTCAGTCATCCTGCTAGATGTTGTTTATTACTTAGGGCCTCTTTGCTGATTTAAGGGAATGAATAAAAAAAACTTATGTTACAATCTGTGCTCTCCTCAAACTCACTGCATATCATCATTGTTGGCAGCATTGATATCGTCATTTGGCTTGTTGTATAGCATCGACTGGCATCGGCTTCCACTACCATTGTGAAGAAAGTGAGGCAAGTGTCACCACTCAAGAGAACTCTTGAGTTCTAAAAAGAAAACAGTGAAACAAAGTTCTGAAGAAACCAACAAAGAATTTTTGCGCACAAAGTTGAAGCCTGGGATTGTTCTTGTTTGTCAAAAAAATCTAATTTCTTCACTTTGCAAGCTGATTTCAATTTTGGAGCCCTGTGAGTGCTTGTGTCAAGTGAGTCACAAAAGCAACTCTGAAGTATGTAAACTGAGGCATTTGCTACTGTATAATGATAAAATGGCTTTCCACATCTAAGGGCTTGCTTGAGTGAAAAAAATGACTTCATTGAGACAGCCATGGGTCAAGGAGCAATAACAACAGGCAAAGCTTACTGTGTATGCTATCTTCTAACAACTCACCAAGGTAACACATAGCAAGAACGTGTCAGTCAGAAAATTTTCATGTAGTCAAGGGTATTGACAACAAAAGCACAGCACTGCACATATATGTTACAGTACCTTTTCTCTGTTTCTTTTGCTATTCACTTTAATTCAAAGTTCTCAGGTTCTCTACCCTTCTGCCAATAAAAGTAGGTTTATTCAGGTCCAGGTCCTACATCGCCATCAAATCTTGTCTCAACCAGCTCATCTCTTAAGAGAACAGCCACAGCTTTTTCAATCTAGCCATGTAACAGAAGGTTCAGGTTGATAGAAGTATTCTTAAAAACATCTTTTCTGTATTCTCTCCGACGCATCCGCATCATTCCCCCCCAAGGCTGACCCAGTGTTTTATAAAGTTTCTCCACAACCTCCTTGTTTTTCTACCCTATGATCCCACGTAGTGCTTTAACTACTTTTTCAACCTGCCCTGCCAACTTCTATAATTTATAGAACTGTACGAGTTCCCATTTTAAGTTATTCCACTTTAACACTGGCCAACTGTAATGGTTTTAATTCACGTGTGACATGAGGAATTGTTTTAACCCTCCTGACATCTCTACAGTTGGACGTTTACTTACGCAACACTTCAACTCAGAATTGCTCTTCCTGGCTCTTGCCACTTGTTTCATGAGCCCTTGCTCACAGTAGGGGTTTGTCAGAAGGAAAGAAGCAAGTCAGAGGTTCAGCAAACAAACACAGAGGGAGCCAGCAGAATCAGAGAGCGGAACAAATGGTGAGGCCCAGATAAGTAGAAAGATTTTTTTAATTTTAGTTTTTAATTAATGTTTTTAATTTTATTTTGCTTTTGCAGTTTTTTGATTCAAAATCATAGGAGTTTAACAATGTAAAGTATTTTTATTTACATGGTATAATTTTCAATATCTAGCTATTGATTTACACTTTTTAGACTATAACTTTAGGTACAGAAATATTTCTTTCTGGTTGTACATTGAAAACGTCGAAATCCAATATAGGAAACAATAAAACTGCAGGTGGACTTATTTAACTAAAAACCTGGATGCATGATGTCTATAACAGTTTTAATGACATGCTGTTCACAGAAATAGCCTTGGTTTGTCTTGTACATTTAAGTCAATCTGCTGTCAGAAAACACGTGAACATACATATGAGCATTCGAATTAGGAGCTAGAGTAGGCTACTTGTCCCCGTAAGCCAGTTGCACCACTAAATAAGATCAGGGTGGATCTGATTACTCCACATTTCTGTCTGCGCACAGATAACATTTCGTACTTTTGTTTATCCAGAATCAAATTCTGCCTTGAAATATCTAAATTCTCTGCTTTCACTGCCTCTGTCATGCTGACCATTCTGCTCGATTACATTTCTAAACTCTCTCTTATCACATCCTCTGTAAGAAATCCAAACATTTTCCTAATGACAAACATTAAGCTAGCTGGCCTATTGTTGATTTTTATCTCCATCACTTTGTAAATAAGGGTTTAACACTAGCAGTTTTCCAATCCTCTCCTACTTTTCCAGAAGCTAAGGATTCTTGTAAGAATTTTGACGTCTACCATTACCTTCTACACAGTTTCAAACAGTTCCAAGTTTGATGTAGTTCACAAATTATCAATGTGCTTCCAAGAAATCCCAGTTTAAGTTACTGATACAGATCAAGAAAAGCAGTGATCTTAATAATCAATCCTTGGAAGCCCAATAATATGTCTTCCTCCAGTCTGTAAAACAGTTCTGTACTGCTTCTGCATTCCCTGTTACTTATTCAGCTTCACAGCCATACTACTACTGCCTATTTTACAACAAGACATTAACTTTGCTGACAAACATTGTTTGCGGGCACTCTAACCTGTCGCCTTCTGCAATTTGTGCACTCCATTCTATAATGAAGCTTTATTTTCACATCTGATCAAATTAACTTTATCCCCTATTGCAGATTTAAGGTTGTTCTGGCAATTTCCAACTCCAATTAACATTGTTAGATCTGTGTTTGTTTCTCTGTTTATGTTTCATTGTAAACTGAAAAAGTCAGATGTTCACAATCAGGTAAAGCAACAATTTATGAAGACAAATGGGATGTTGTTTCCATCGTTCTAAATTTTATTATCAAACCTTGAGTATAAAGGTGGGTCAGACCTGAGAGAATAAGGGGGAATGCTGTTATCATCTTGTGTGCCAAACTCTACTTTGCAAAAGCTAAATGCCAATTGTCAGGCACACCCTCCTATCTCCCTGGGTCATGATCTCACCATTGAAGACTAAGCTGTTATTTCCAAGACTGTCGCTGACCTCATCTTCTCCAAAGATCTGCCCTCCACAGTTTCTTCATTTATAGTCCCCCAACCACACATAGGCTGCATGGGCTTTTTATTCTTTATTCATTCACAGGCTGAGGGTGTCGCTGGCTAGGCAGCACTTATTGCCCATCCCTAATTGCCCAGAGGGCAATTCAGAGTCAACCACATTGCTGTGGGTCTGGAGTCACATGTAGGCCAGACCAGGTAAGGATGGCAGTTTCCTTCCCTAAAGGACATTAGTGAACCAGATGGGTTTTTCTGACAATCGACAGTGGATTCATGGTCATCACTAGATTCTTAATTCCAGATATTCTATTGAATTCAAATTCCACCATCTGCCATGACAGAATTCGAACGCAGGTCCCAGAATGTTATCTGGGTCTCTGGATTAACAGTCCTGCGATAATACCACTAGGCCATCATCCCCCTCTGCTCAAAATCCATAAACAACACTCTCCTGGAAGACCCAATGTTTCAGCCTATTCCTGATGCATTGAACTTCAGACATGGAATTGAGTTCTAACTCTGCTGAGGTGAACCCGTCTGACTTGCACACATGCCACCTTCCCTAGAGTCAGTACCACTTCCCCAAGAATCTAAAGCCCTCCCTCCACACTATCTTTCCAGCCATGCACTCACCTTCCTTATCCTGCTATTTCTGCATTCACACATGTAGCAATCTCATAATTACTATATTTTTTATCCTGGTTGATAACTTTCCACCTAGTTCCCCTTAAATTCTGATTTCAGGGCAACATCCTCCTTCCTATCTAAGACTGTTGCCACAGAGAATGTCTAGTAACCACTGTGACATCATTAAATCTGGCACCACATACCAACCTGGGAGTTACAGTGACAGCCACAGAAATGCCTGTCTGTTCTCATAACTAATGAATCTCTTATCACTACTGCTCCTCCTTTATATTTCCTCCCCTCCTGTACAGTCAGACTGCTTGTGATGCCAGAAACTTGATCGTGTCTGCACACTGTTCAGGAGCCAGCACCATCATCAACCTCCAAAATGGAAAACAGATTTGTCAATGGGACCACATGGGATTCCTGCACCAGCTGCCTATTTCTCTTGGGCTGCCTTGTAGTGTTCCTTTCATTCTCCCAGTCTTTTGAGACGTGGTATGACCACCTCTCTAAACATGCTATCCACATGACTCTCAGCTACTGCAATTCCTGTATTTATGGTCATTTAGGACACAGGTAAGGTCCATGACTTGCCGCATATTCCAAGTCACATATTCCATTCATATGACCTCGCCTGCCATATGTCTTACTTAGTCTTAAAAAATACTCCCCTTACCTGAATTTAAGTCTCCTATTATTCTACTTTGACTTTAACCTACTAATACTTATTGTTATTGCATTATCGTACTTTATTATGCCAATTCTAATTTCATTTATCCCTGGTGCTTCTAAATTAATCCCATAGCCTTTAACTTTTCTAATTTATGGCTATTTAGGGATAGACTCTGGTGGTATGTCTTTACCAGCTTTACCAACTCACTGCTTTCCTGTGATGTCATTCCAATTTTGTTTCCCCATTTCAGTGCAGCTGGCTGCAAGCAGCTGAATGTGCCTCGCTATGTGCACAGCCTGGGTCCCAGGTAAATGTAGGCCTTGATCCTCGGCTGTGATTTATACTCAATATTAAAACCACAACAGACTGCACGCGAGTAAATTAGTATCAAGATTAACAAGACTAAAAATCAGTCTACAACTAAAAATATTTCTGAAGTGGCCTGCAAATGCACCAGAAGGGTAACAAGTGCATATTGAAGAAAGACAGGCTGGAGTTCACAATGTATCTCAGAGAAAGTAAACTGACCTTTTTATCCATCCTAGTAAACAAGGTGGTTTACAGGTGATGGTACTGTGCCTTCAAGAGAGATATGTTCTGTCCTATTACTCTTGCAGAGAGGTGTCGCCACAGTGGTACCAAAATGCCTCCTTCAGACAGGCAGTTGATAACAGTTTTTTGAATTCTCCCTGGGCGATTTTTTTTGCAATGAGACAAAAGGACAATGAGAGGATGGAGTCAAAGCAGTAAGGCGTTTAGGTTGGCTTTCAGTTAGTGAAAAGGTTTCTTGTGACTGCTGAGCTAAAAGCTTGAGTTCCTGGCTGCTAAAGTGAAGTCTTAGACAGCGAGGCTCCTCTACAAAATCAGAAGGGCAGATTGTTTCTTTCTTCTGGACTGGAGAGAAAACAGCATGTGAGATCCAGAACTGTTATGCTGAACTGCATTTTTGCCAAAGGGTGTTATTGTGTGATGTTGCCTATATTGTAACAGTTGATGATTATTGGTTTAATAATACATTATCTTTATAAGTGTTTCAATAGGGTTAAAGTTATGCCAATTCTCTTTTTTTGGTGTGTTTTAACTGTGTTGTAAGAATATACTGCGTTTTGATTAAAACCTAGTGTGGACCAATTGAATCACATCTGGAACACAGCACCTTACACTTGCCTTTAAATAAATACAGAAGTTAGGGTCTGGTCCAATCCATAACAATAGGACATAAAAGAAAGTTAGATCATGAATCGAATTTTCTAGTAGTTGCTGTACATCAAAGATCTGACAACGGGCCATAGTGTTTCATTTCCAGACGCAACTAAAAAAAGAAAAATTAAAGGGAAAGGACAACATTCAATCAGCAAAGCAAACAATTACTCACACTTTGTCCTTTGTTCATTGTTAATTGAGGATTCTAGTCTTTTGGTTACTGCCCAGTTCCACAAATTAATGGCATATTCTTCAACCTTTATTACAAGGAAAAACAGATCATAACTTTGTTATTTCCTACCTTCACATTGGCCATTTTTGCCAGTAGTTTAGTAAAATTTACTTAACAATGGGTGGACCTAGGGAAAAAAGAAGCCATCTACCACTGAAGTAAACAGTACTTCAAATTTTTCCTTCTAAAATACTGTAAAAACAAAAAATAAGTGATTCAGTGTTTATATTTTATAAATACAAGCTGACTCCAAGACTTGAATTAGAACTCCAATACATGCCACACATCTACTTCATAATATGTTGTGATGTACTATGTTTACCACAATGTTCCAAATAACTCATGTTAATTACAGCCATCCCCTCAACCAACAATTGATTCAATTGCAGTTCACTACAATGGCATTAAACCTTTAACAGCATTTCGAAGACATAAATATGCTAAGTGCACTGCACTCCTGGTCTTTTATTTCCACATGTGCAGAAGCTGGTTGTGGTTACATTATGATAAATACAGAAAGTGCTGTAACGACAACCTTAAACATTACTTCTCGTTCCAAAGATATTGCCTGACCACCTGGCCATTTGCATTGTTTTCTGATTTTGTTTTAGATTTCTAGCATCTACAGCATATGTTTTGCACTTTTACCAGTAAGCGGAAGGCAATTAGGTTCATTAACGAGCCATTTAAACCAATTATTTTTATACTGACGAGAGTTTAATGGTGACTCTCAAATTGTCTGGAACTCACATATGTGGTTTACACATTGACTTCTAACACTGCCCAGAAAATTTTGATCAGTTTGTTTGTAATCTTATTGTGGGTGTCCCTAGTTCATAGAGACTTTACGACAGATTGAGTGCCCTGGCAATTTTAGGGGTAGGCACTGAAAGACACATTGTCCTCCTCTTTTGCCTTCTCCTACAATCCACTCCCTGCAAACCTCATCACACCTTCACTTGCCTGTGCTTTGGAATCCACCTCTGATCCAGAGACTGGGACTCAATGCATAACTGACAGCAGGTACCAGTCCTGGTAAGCATGCAGTTCTGGATATAACAATCAAAATGGGCAAGTGTAATGACAACATGCACCACTATTCAGACTTCATTACTTCAATGGTGCTCAGCAGGGTTCAGTAAGGTTGAATGTGACTTGCCATGAAGTAATCACCTAACTGTTGCAGAGGATGAAGCACCAGAAACCAGATCTCAGGAATGCATAGTCTTTGGGGACTGAGTCATGGGGTCTCCTAGATAACTGGTGACAGCATTAGATCTGAGCAAATCAAATGACATTTGGCAATCATATATTTGATGTGGTAAAGCATGGGACTGAAGTGTGATCAAGAATGGTGACTTTGAAATCTTCCCAATTGTTAGCTCCAATTCAAGTCCTTCAGCTCCCACAGGTTCATGAAGCACACTGTTGAAAATGGTGCAGTAGGAGGTTGAGGAGTCTCATCCACTCAGTGAATTATTTTGGAGCAGCAGAAAAATGTGCAAAATGCATCAGCATTTCCAGAGGCACAGCAGAAATATTGGAGGATTTCATTTCTACTGAGTGCTATGACACATCAAGCTGCTGTGCAGATGAAAACAAGGGCCACCTGCAGGCAGCATCAGACATTGTAACAACAAAATGCATGCAATCTCCCACCAATGGACTGCACATTCAGTCTGGCTGCTCAAATGGGATAATGGAAAGCCTTGTTTTGTGTCAGCAAAACAAAAAGTCAATTTAATTATAATTACTATTCCCTCTTGCTGTTAAAGGTGCTTTCTTCTTTCATTATCTTCTCTTACCCTTTTAAAAATAATTGGTAGTGTGTTCTTCTATAATATTGCTTGTGAAGTCCAAACTAAAAATGACTCATATTAATTATTCAGTGCCAAAATAAAGTTAAGTTACAAAATGTGGAATGAGAGGGGAGTATAGTTCACAACACATGTGGGAAAGGTTAAAAACAAAGGGGGAGGGAAGGAAAAGGAAAAGAATGGCAGGATGAAGAATAGTGGAGAGGAAGATGAAGAAAAGGATGAGGGCAATGACTCATCTTTGCTTGACCCCAAAGGATTCTGTCATTTTACCATCAGTGAGGATCATCACCAACATCTTGTCATAAAGGACAATGAGCATGTTGATGAATTTTATTGGACAGCGGCCTTTGAACGGGTCTTCTATAGCAGCTCCTGGGCTGACTGAGTCAAAAGACTTGGTCAGATCAGTGAGGCCATGTAGAGTGGTGTTCTTCCAGGCATTTCTATTGGAGCTGAACAGTGAAAGTCATGTCCATAGTTAGATGGTTTGCTCAGAATCAATACTGGCTTTCAGGAAGTATTTGCTCACACGCTGGGAAAAGAGGATCCAGGCAATTATCTCCCTGGCAATGGAGAGTAGGGAGATTTCTCAATAGTTCCACGTTTTAATCCTTTCTTGAAGGTGGCAATAGTAGCATCCATGAGATCGGCAGGAATTTTTTTTGTCCCAGATTTTCAGGAACAATTCATGGAGATGACTGGTAAGGTCTTCTCCTCCAAATTTGAAAATCTCCATGGAATTCAATCTACTCCTTCAGCTTTTCCATTCTTCGTCTGTCTAATGACAGCTTCAAATTCTACCACACTAAGTGGGAGTCCAAGATGGGAAGCTGGGGGGAGTGGCTCTAATACATCATCATCACAACAATATCACAATTTACGAGTTGTTTGAGTTATCTCTCCAATGCAGGCTGACATTTTCTCTGACTCTCAAAAGATTTCTATTCTTACTCCACAACAGTTTGAGGCCAAAAGTGTTGGGTCCTTACATTGCCAAATTGGCTTTCAGCAAGGAGTTGCATCATCTTCTTTGTAACACTGACTTTGATGCTTGATGAATGCTCCCACTTACTTCGCTGGTGATGTTGCGTTGCCAGGCATGGACAGCTTTCCTCTCTTGTTGATGAGGTCTTGGTGTTTCCTGGTCTTATAGCTGATGGTTTCTTCACAGCACAAGATAATGGAAAACCCAAAGTACAACACTTGAAGAATAGAACTGGATTCACTATCAAGAACAAACTCATCAATCAACTCAACTGCAACTCAAATGGGAGTCTCGTGCTCACCAAGTGTGAGGAACACTAGTTGGTCATCACTAACATACTGTTCCATCAAAAGGGCAAATTCAATACTTCCTGGAGGCATCCATGATCAAAGCACTGACACATAGTTGACTACATCATCATTCGAACCTGAGACCAAAGGAATGTGCTCATTACCAAAGTGATGGCCAGCGCAGACAACTACAGAACAGGCCATTAGCTCATCTGCTTCTCAGTGTCCATCAAATGCCTCCAAAAACAGCTGAAGACAAAGAAACAGCTCAGAAAAAAGGTTAATGTTGAGCAGCTTCAAGAGCCAAGCAAACTTCCAACAATGTCTCCACCAAAATCTCCAAGCATTCATTGTAATGGACTGAAGGAAATCTGGATTAATGCAGTAAAATACCACAGCACCATTGTCTCCCCACTGACTCATCTGTCTGACCAGCATACAAATATACACAGTTAATTGCACATAGCAGCAGGTTAACAACTGTACTTCAAACACACAAAGAATTAAAGAACAGGACAGCATAGGAACAAGCCCTTTGGCCCACCAAGGCTACAATACCACATGATGCTTTTCTAAACTAAAAACCGAATGCTTCTACACAGTCCGTATCCCTCTATTCCCTGCCTACTCATGTATCTGTTAATCTTAAACATTGCTATACTATAGAGCTGGAGGAACACAGCAGGTCAGGCAGCATCAGAGGAGCAGGATTTGATGAAGGGTTCTGACCTGAAACGTCAATTCTCCTGCTCCTCTGATGCTGCCTGACCGACTGTGTTCCTCCAGCTCCACACTATACTGACTATGACTTCAGCACCTCCAACTCTTCCCATCTCTTAATTGTTGCTATTGTATCTGTCTCCACCACCTCATCTGGCAGTGCATTCCACACACGTACCACCCTCTGTGAACAAAACTTTGCATCTGACATCTCTTTTAAACTTCCACTTTTACCTTAAATCTATGTTTCCTATTAATTAACATATTTTCCCTGGGAAAAAGACTCCAACTATCCATTATATCCATGCCTCTCATAATTTTGTAAGCTTCTATCACATCACCCCTAAGCCTCATGACACTCATGTGAAGGCAAACCAAGTTTGTCAAATCTCTCCTCATGGTTAATCCCTCTAAACCAGGCAACATCCTGGTGAAACTTTTCTACACCCTCTCCAAAGCCTCCATATCCTTCTGGTGGTGTGGCAACCAGAACAGTTTGCAATATTCCAAAAGTGGCCTAACTGAAGTTCTTTACAACAACAACCTGACTGCCAATTTTTATCCTCTATACCCTGACCAGGAAACTGTGGACCTGCATGCCTAGATCCCTTTGTATGTAAATGCTTCTAAGGGTTCTTCCACACACTTATTTCCTGCTCTGAACAATGCATGAATTTACAACCTGCCACCTAATTTACATTTATAAATTACTTTGAGAAAATCTGTTTCAATGCCTGTGGGTTTATCTAAAATCAGAACATCAGGCTAGAAGATGAAAGTAAAACCACATCAGCAAAAAAGGAGGGTTGGGGGGGGATGGTAAATAGTTGCTCTGGAGGTAGTTAGCACTACCAGGTGGGCTCTGAAAATTTATACGGTGAAGGAGGATAGGTCAAAAAAACCATTAATATAGTCCGGGCAGAAGTGTTCACCACAAGAGAGTCAAACTTAAACAAAACATCCTTAAGACAACCTGTAGATAACCAGGTTAGAAGTTCTTGAGGCAATAGGGTACCACATCCATTCAACTGAGAAGATAACTTAGAATAGAATAGAATCCCTACAGTGTGGCCCAACAAGTCCACACCAAATCTCAGAGCATCCCACCCAGACCCATTCCCCTGTAATCCACCCAATTTACACATCCCCAAACACTATGGGCAATTTAGCATGGCCAATTCACCTAACCTGCACATCTTCAGACAGTGAG